GGGGGGGGGGGGGGGGGGGGGGGGGGGGCCCCCCTGACATTAGCCCCCCCCCTTCCCCCACTCCTCCTGCAAGCAGGAAGCTCCCGGGAGAAGCTCCAAGGCAGAGGGCAGGAGCAGCATATGGCAATCGGGGGAGGGACAGCTGAACTGCCGGCAATTGATAGCCTGCTGGGCGGCTGCCGCACAGGGAACTTAGGGGAGCAGGGAGCTGATGGGAGGCTGCCGGTCCACCCTGGTTCCAAGCCCCCACCAGCTACCTGCAATGGGCTGCTCTTCCTACAAGCAGTGGACAAAGCAGGCAGCTGCCAAACAACGTTATAAGGGAGCAGTGCGCAGCTTTAAATGAGCATGTTCTCTAATAGATCAGCAAGGTAACAACGAAACAACGTTAACTGGGACGACTTTAAGTGAGCAGTTACTGTACTGTTTACTCTCATGTACTCTGTACAGCCAGTAATTTAGAGATTGAAAAGTTCACCTGTTTGTCAAACTGTCCAATGAGAATGGATGCAAAGTAAGAATGAAGTTGAAGTTTGTCTTATATATTTAAGGAACGTTAAGATATATTTCAATTTGAAAAATGTTTTTTTCAATCAGACAGCTGTCATTCTTCTCATCCTTCCTGCTCTACTGAATAATCATTTATAAAATATGGACAAAGAAGGCATGTCATAAATAAAACAAACTGTGGAAACAAAATTTTTGCTCCATACTTCTGAATAGATTACTTGTAGACTGTGCAGTATAAGCCAATTTTAGCTTTAAATACAGAATACTTAATCTAAATAAGGACAGTGAAGAAGAAGAATGAAAGATAAACATTTATTAGAGAGGTCTCTGTGATATTATTGACATGAACTGTGACCGTATAGATCAGGGGTCGGCAACCTTTCAGAAGTGGTGTGCCGAGTCTTCATTTATTAACTCTAATTTAAGGTTTCGCGCGCCAGTAATATATTTTAACATTTTTAGGTTTCTTTCTATAAGTCTATAATATATAACTAAACTATTGTTGTATGTAAAGTAAATAAGGTTTTTAAAATGTTTAAGAAGCTTCATTTAAAATTAAATTAAAATGCCGAGCTCCCTGGACCGGTGGCCAGGACCCGGGCAGTGTGAGTGCCACTGAAAATCAGCTCGCGTGCCGCCTTCGGCACCCATGCCATAGGTTGCCTACCCCTGGTATAGATCGTTATTGCAACCAGGGTCCTATGGTTGCACCAGGTATTGTACAGAGGAGGTCAAGTGGGGTATCTATGGAAAGGTTGTAGTTTGCTGGTTATGATTATGCTGTCTGCATATGTATATCATTTTTGTATTTGCAGTTATGAATATTGGCTATGTACTTGTATCTCAATGGGTTTGATTCTAAGTAGCCTCAGTGAAGCACTTGGTCAGCTTCTTGAGAAAGGACTATTCTCAGTAAGTGCCCAATCAAGAAACACTTAACTGACAATGGACTTTGGGAGACACCAATCCACATCTGAGCTTTCTTGGGAACGTTCAAACTAACATGTAAACAATGGCATCAGCCTGCAAAAAGCTGAATCATTCATGGACATGTGACTTGCCCAAGTGGCTACAAACTCCATCTTGTTGCTGTGACTTTGCACAGAAGAACAAAGGGGTTTCCGCCCACAAGAGAGAGAATATAAAAGGCCCTGGAAGCCTCTCCATTTTGTCTTCAGCTGGCTCAAGAGATGGCCTCTCCACCCCCAAGAGATGCCCGAAAGAAACTGGAACAAAGGACAGTAACTATGGGGGTGAGTGATTGCTGGACTCAGACTAGAAAGGAGTCCAGTCTGTGAAAGAAGCTTATTGGGACATCTCTGGGGGTGAGAGTTCATCCGTAATCAGTTTCTTAATGTATTAGGCTTAGACTTGCGTGTTTTGTTTTGCTTGGTAACTTACTTTGTTCTGTCTGTTATTACTTGGAACCACTTAAATCCTACTTTTTATACTTAATAAAATCACTTTTTGCTGATTAATTAACCCAGAGTAAGTAATTAATACCTGGGAGAGCAAACAGCTGTACATATCTCTCTATCAGTGTTATAGAGGGCGGACAATTTATGGGTTTACTCTGTATAAGCTTTATACAGAGTAAAACGGATTCATTTGAGGTTTGGATCCCATTGGGAGCTGGGTGTCTGGGTGCTAGAGACAGGAGCACTTGCTAAGCCGTTTTCAGTTAAGTCTGCAGCTTTGGGGGCATGGGTCAGACCCTGGGTCTGTGTTGCAGCAGATTAGCATATCTGGCTCAACAAGACAGGGTTCTGGAGGCCCAAACTGGCAGAGAAAATGGGCTCAGAGGTAGTCTCAGCACATCAGGTGACAGTCCCAAGGGGGTCTCTGTGGCCCAACCCGTCACATCTCCATCTCTTGAATGTAATGTTATTAAAAATGGATATGAAAGAATGTAGGTATGTGTTAAGGCTTAAAAGAGATTAGAATTCAAATTCTGAGTTAGATCACTGAAGAAAATGAGATTGCTAGTTCCCATTTATGAACATCACAGGCTCACTCCCATTGGCACAATTCACCATGGTTGACAGTTTCTGTCCAAGAAAGGCTTTGGACTGGAATGTGAGGATTTTCACATTTGAATTAGGATCAAAGTGTATTGGTACAGCAATGTGTTAAACCTTTTATAAGGTGTCTGCCTGCAGAGCGTTTGTCTCAGGCCAGAACTACTTGTTCTCTATTTTCAGGAATATTATTACACTCATTAACATTTTTTTAAGATGAGGCACTGGAGTTGGTGAAAGGTAATCATGAAGTTTGATAGTGTGGATCTTTTTTTAGGAAAAGGAACGAGAAGTTGGTATAAAAAATATCTATGCAAATCGGATGCTTAAAAGTCTACAGGACAAAGCTGACCCAGTACCTCGCAAAAAAGGTACTGTATATCTGTAATATTTTTATTTTTATATATTTTAGTGTTGAACTTGCATTGCTTTATAATTGGGACATAATGGGATACATTTTCTAAAACAGCAACCTCAATTGCACCTGTAAATATGCAAAATGGGTTCTTGTGCCTGCAGTTACCCATTTGGACACACAATTACTTTTCTTTGCTCATATGGCTGCAACTAAGTAGCCCATTTCTGAATATTTAACTCAGTTTATGTAAATGAACTTTGGGCCAATTTTTACCTTTAGTTAGTGACATTTACATAGACTGTACAGTATATGATACTGTGTCTGTTAATACAACAGTTTTGGAAAATAAAGTGTAATAATGATGAGACGTAAGCAGTGTTTCTGCCTTAAGTACATAATCTCTGCATCATTACATTATTAGCATTCAAACAGTATTTCATATTACTGCATCATAGATTTTGCGTAGTATGTTTGAACGTAGCTGTGCCCTCTAACATCACTGTAGTTAAAGTTTTGTCAGGGTTTTATTTGTAAAATCTGGTAAGTATTTAAATTTATAATTTGTCTGCAAAAATTATTCTGGCCTGAAATTTAGCATTTGATTAGTCTAGTAGCAAATTTGCCTTACCCATTTCTTAAAAATCAGATGGGCAGTTTTAAAATGATATAAACACTATTTCTGATGGCGTGTGTGTAACCAAGTATCAGAGGGGTAGCCGTGTTAGTCTGGATCTGTAAAAAGCAACAAAGACTCCTGTGGCACCTTATAGACTAACAGACGTATTGGAGCATAAACTTTTGTGGGTGAATACCCACTTCGTCAGACGCATGTGTCTGATGAAGTGGGTATTCACCTACGAAAGCCTATGCTCCAATATGTCTGTTAGTCTATAAGGTGCCACAGGACTTTTGTGTAACCAAGATAACTCAAAAACTAAGATAAAATACCAGCATTTTTGATCCAATCTTTACAAGTTAGTGGTTTTAGAAAATCAGATCTCTGGGATTCAGAGTGCCCCCTAAATCTAATTGGGTTTCTGCTGAGTCAGCCAATCTGAATCAGACAGAGCCAACAACATCCTAAGAATTTTGCAAAAAGAAGAACAGGAGTACTTGTGGCACCTTAGAGACTAACAAATTTATTAGAGCATAAGAATTTTGGTGAGAAGTCCTCTCTGTGATGTCACAGGCCTTCGGTACCTTTGTTTCAGGTAGCTTTTTACAGCAATGGCACTTCAGCTGAAATAGTTTCTGTGAAGAAAAATTTCAGTTGGAAGCTTTTACTCTTATATTTGCTCCATAAGATGAGTAAAGGTTTGGACAAGGTTTGTAAGAGGTGTGTTGTAAATTTCTTCAGTAAATACTGCCAAATATCCTGCTAAGAGGACAGGAGTAAGATATTTCTAGGCTGCTGCATCCAATCCAGTCAGAGGCTTCCCTCTCCTCAGTTCTAATAAGGTAAAACTCTGTACCTCACGCTACACTTCATCCAGCTCAAGCCTCACTCATTTCTACTCTCAATTTATAGAGATGTTTCCCATGGCTATGGAAGAAATCCATTACACGCTTATCTGCCTGTCACGATATCCAATCACTGAATTATATCTTTTGTCACCTCTCCCTCTGCCAGTCATCATGTGCAATAAACAAGGATGGTTATTGCAGTTTTGTTTGACATTTTCCACCCCGATCTAATTGTCATATCCAACAGTGTCTTTTGTATATATGTTAAATGTTCAATATCTTATGAATGCATACATGAGTTATTATGTGTTTATGTTGTTTGTCTGATAGCCTTGTTATGTGATGCTTCCATTCCACGAGTTAGAATGTTTTTGGAGAACAGAAAGTACTGGATTTTTGCTGTTGTTTCTAAAATATAGCATAGGTATTATAAGATATGCATGATACTGTATGAACTCACTGCAAATATACAGATGTTGTTTTAATTTTTTTTCAATATTCATTTAATGAATAGTTTCCTGAATGATTCTATCATTTCCCCTAACTGACATTTCAAATAGGGAGGAACCCTTTTCTAGGAGGGCTGGTTTCCAGTCACAGAGAAGGAAACATTTCTTGGTGTTTACTTACAGTGCCATGTAAATAATAATAATAATTAATAATAAAAACAGAGGACCCAAATAGAAACTGGATGAACAAATTTAAAATAAATTAAGGACATTCAAGTGGCAACTTCAAAGGCTATTTTCCTAGCCCTTAAGCCCTGGAGATTCTGTTATACATTAATCTCAAACATGCATAACTTCCCATGGCCCTTTCCCAGCTGAAGCTTCTAAGGGTATGCCTACACTACAGTCAGCACAGTGCCGCTGTAGCACTGGAGAATAGGTGCTTCCTATATTGACGGAAGGGGTTTCTCGTCAATGTAGGTAATCCACCTCTCAGGCTTGTCTACACTTACCAGGGGATCGACGCGTGGCGATCGATGCATCAGTGGTTGATTTAGTGGGTCTAGTGAAGACCCGCTAAATCGACTGCAGATCACTCTCTCGTTGACTCCTGTACTCCATCGGATCGAGAAGAGTAAGGGGACCCATTGACATTGCGTAGTGTGGACCCCGCGGTAAGTAGATCTAAGCTATGTCGACTTGAGTTACGCTATTCACATAACTCAAATTGTGTGGTTTAGGTCGACTTTTCCCTGTAGTATAGACAAGGCTTTGGCAGTAGCCAAGTCGATGGAAGAATCCTTTAATCAACTTAGCTGTGTCTACACCAGAGGTTAGGTTGACCTAAAGATTGGGTTCAGGGCATGAAATTCTTCATAGGCCTGATCATCACAGCTAGGTTGACCTGGTTTTTATGTGTAGACCAGGCCTTAGACTTGCATTTTGAGGGTGGGAGATCCCAGACTAGGGCTTGCTTCTAAACAGTATTTACAAGAGTGATGGTCACAGTGACAGGTTGTCTGAGAGAAGAAGGGGGACTCTGTTTTCCTTTGGTTAGCTTCATAGATTCCAAGGCCAGAAAGGACTATTGTGATCATCTAGACTGACCTTCTGTATAACATAGGCCATAGAACTTCCCCAAGATAATTCCTAGAGCAAAGATTTTAGAAAAACATCCACTTTTTATTTAAAAATTGACAGTGATAGAGAATCCACCACAATCCTTGGTAAATTGTTCCAGTGATTAATTACTCTGTTAAAAATGTATGCCTTATTTCCAGTCTGAATTTGTCTAGCTTCATTGGATTATGTTATACCTTTCTATGCTAGATTGAAGAACCCATTACTAAATATATATACCTATAGGCTGTTATCAAGTCACCCCTTAACTTTCTCTTTGGCTATGTCTACACTACGGACCTTACAGCGGCACAGCTGAACTGCTGCAGCGGTGCCACTGTAAGATCTCCTCTGTAGCCACTCTGTGACGGTGGGAGAGTACTCTCCCACCAGCATCATTAAACCACCCCCAATGAGCAGCAGTAGCTATCTCGGCAGGAGAGCATCTCGCGCTGATATAGCACTGTCCACACCATCACTTTTGCCAGTGAAACTTTCGTTTGTCAGAGGCTGTTTTTTCACATCCCCTGACCAACAAAAGTGCTAGTGTAGACAAAGCCTTTGTTAAGCTAAATAAATTGAGTACTTTGAGTCTCTCACAATAAGGCATGTTTTCTAATCCTTTAGCCGTATTAAAATGCATATTGGTTGCTTGCACCCAGTTTACCAAGTTTAGTTAGCATAAACAAAGTTTAAACAGACAATCAGAGAGATTGCAATAATTGAATTGTTAGAGATCCTCCTTCCTAGTTGTGTCAGTCAACAGATAAGAGTACACTAGAATCCACAGTATTTTCTTCATATGGATGTTCAGACAGTTACATGAGCTATATCCCTGTGGATAAAATTACTTCTGAAGAGCAATTTCCCCCCTTTGCAATAATACAAGATTCACCAAATGATAAATATTTATCAACAATCTCCAGTAGATACCTCCACACACTGCTAAAGATGTGCTCCCCTCATTTGTGAAGTACACATACTGATCATTGTGCTATACTACCCATATAATCCATATATTCATCATGGACAAAATATAAACATTCCCTGGAAATTGCATTTCATATAAGCTTGCAGGGGCTGTTGCTATCCTCCAGGCTATAGTTTTTGAAAGAAAAGAAAACAATTTTGTTTAAATGGAAAAAACAAATCAATGGATTTCTGAGCCCATTAGCCCTTGCACATGAACCTGAGACACAAATATTAGTCTGGGTTAGGGGAAGGAATTTTTGTGCAGAAGCCCTTTGTTAAAATATTGGCAACATGTTGCTATCCCTAAATTGGAAAACTAAACTGGCACGTCTTTGATGAGGGGCGAGTACTTAAACTTCATTTGCTAGAAGCTATCATAAGGAAACTTTCGCTTCTGTGAATATTGCAGAGTTCTTAGAAATTGAGTGGCAATATGCAGACTTACTGTTGTCTTCTGTTTATTCCTTTCCTAACGTACTGCCTCTGCTGAATGTCTGAATCCCAGTAAGAAAAGTGTTAACTGGCAATTCATGTTGTGGGATTTAAAGACATGTCACTGCCTGACACTGGCCCTGTAAAAAGGAGGAGGGCTAGTGCACCTTTGCCTTAGCAGTACACTCCAATCTGGCCAATTAATTGGGCTTAAAAGTGGGTACCTGGGCCTTAGGGGAAGGGAGATCCAGTGAGTTAGGAGGGAAGAGCTGACAAAGTCAGGAGACTGTGCTTCCTGGACGAAGGCTGAAGGCAGGAGAGCAGCAAGAGGGATTTGCTGGCTGGTGTCCCCAAGCCAGAGAGCCAGGGCTGAAAGCCATAGAGCAGCTGAGGGAGTTGCCTGCTGGCTCTAAGCTGGAGAGCTGGAGCCAAAGGCCAGAGAGGGATGAATTCAGGGAGCAGCAAGGACAGAGGTGAATTAAGATTTATTGGGGCTCTGGGCACAAAGAACATTTGCCCCCCCCCCCAAGCCCAGGGAGCCCAAGGGTGCCAGAATGGGGCCACGCCCTCCCACTAT